TACGGTGAGCGAGCTCAGATTTTGAGTCGATGCTATCAATTTCACGGCCGTTCTCGGGAATGGCAGCGAATGGAATGACATAGTCAAGATCCCATCCAAGACCGGTCTTTGGATCGTAGATATAGTTGACCAAGGCCTCAACATCTTGTTTGCTACCTTGGTTAAAGGGAACAACAATCAATTGAGATCCTCGGGATCCGTAGCGAGCATACATTGATTGATAGTACTCGGTGACCTGTCTGGAGAATCGACTGGTAGTTACGACAACCTTAGCGCCACCACTAATCAATCCTTGCAACACATCGGCACCAATTGAGCCAGCTCCGGCACCAGTCATCAAAGCGTTCTTGCCTTGGAAAGTGACACCAGATTTAGCGGCCTGCTCTAATCCATCGAGATAGAGACCGGTAAGCTTTTTGCTGTACTCCCAACCGTGCTCATCCTTTCTCTTCAAATGAAGGAATGGAATGGTCTCGACCTTTCCAGCCTTCACATTGCCATTTGCCTTTCCACCATTCATTTTGACTCCGTTCTTCTTGCCACTGTTGTTCTCCTTTGGAATGATTTGTCCTTCGCTCATCGCCAATGAGCGGATGACATCACTATAGAGACTCTTGATTTGGAGTTGAGATGCTTTGGAGAGCTTGTGCTGCTGCTTGATCAGCTTGTAAATACGGCCGAGATCATTCTGGACCTTGGTTCGGTTCCCGTATTCTGAGATCTTTCCCCCGTCAGCCATTTCTCGCACATAGTGCTCAAGCTTTCGGACACTAGATCTGGGGATTTCGGCGTAATCAAGATTGCCACGAGCATCGATTGTTGTATGTGGTCCAGTTGGCAATGCAACATCCTTGTAAACTGGTGCTTCGTTCAGGACATCTCTGCAGTTGTCGATGAGCGATTGTCCAAGCTCCTTTGCAAGTTTGTAAGTCTCGCCACGCTCAGTCGGGCAGTTATCAATGTGGTATTGCATAAATTCGAGAAGGGTGGGGTTGGATCTGTTCATGATACGAATGCACTGACTAACGATTTCCCGATCAACTGCTTGGAGTCGACCGAAAATGATATCGTAGTACATTGTCAAGGCATCTTGTCGCGCCCAGTTCCAGGAAGAATCGTATACTCTAGCTTTCAATTGAGTGAAAACAGGCTCAATACCCGCAGCATAAAATTCTCCGTGTTCGACGTTCCACAGGTCGAGTTGTGCTTGAAGGGCCTTTTCTGATTGTTGCGCGCCAATAAACGCCTTGTCACCAGCTCGGAGATCCATCTTAAGGTATCTGGCGAAGAGTTCAAGCTGCTGCTTGAAAAGTGCTCTCTGATCCTTGGTCAAAGCATCAAGAGCAGCTGGATCCATCATCATTCCACCACCTGAGCCACCTGCATCAGCACTGGCAGATACCGTTGAAAGATTGATTCCGGCATTTGCTGCATATTTTTGTGAAACATCGTCGAGGAATGCCTTGGCATCATTTTCGGATCCTAGACGTGCTGCTGGCTCCATTGTCAGGGCCAAAAGCAAGACACCATCTTGTCTGCCGGATGCTAAACCCCAGCGTGTTTCCAGATATTTTCTTGCTGTAGTTATATTGAATCCACCCGGCATTTTAGAGGAGATTAACCTCGCAACAAGAGATGATGATTGTTTTCCTAATTGGCCGTTGAAAGTTTGTTGCATCGAAGCTCCCAGCTCGTCCAGAGGGGTATCTTCTGGCTTCTCAGGCGTTGACCCGAATTCTTTGCCCAAATCTCCCAATATCTCGTTTTGAAGTGTAGATTTTCCTGTAGAAATCCCATGATTAGCTTCTGCAACCCTAGCAATGAGAAATACAATTCTTACCTCCGACAAGATCCTTGATGGCCTTTGTCAATGGAATTTCCAAAAGTGGTTTCTTGAGTTTTTGGGCAATCAGAGATCGCACAATATCTATGGCTCCGACTGGGGCATCTGGAACTTGTGCAGCTGGGCCTGCACTTGGTGGAGGAGCTGCTGCAACTGGTGCAGGTGCAGAGCCTGAGGATGCTGCTGGTGCTGGTGTAGAATCACTTGGAGCGGCCGCAGGTTCATCCTCCACTGGGTCGACATCATAGTAGATCTCCTTGGCATCTTTGTTATAGCATAGAATTTGACGTTGAATAGATTTTGCTGCATCGTAGGCTTCGTATTTGGAGGCGAGTGTCCGCTTGGCCATAGTACCAAGGGTATCTGCAGGACCGATTTCGACGATTCTTTCGGTGGTCTTCTCATCCAAAATCACATCTTGTGTTTCAATCCATCTTACGGGAGATGCAAATTGATATGCCAATAGCTCGACGAGGAGCGTATGGGCGAGCTCTTGCTCGACTTCGGGACGCATATTTGAGGATTGTATGGTCGAGGAAAATTAAATTGTATTCGAAGGGGGTATCATAAAAAGAATTTCGGTGAAGGAATTCTAAAAGTTTGGCCAAACTGTCAAATTCAAGAATTGAATCTAAAACAGACCTTCCTCTTTTTTTTTTCTTTTGAAAGTAGTGAGCTTGGGACTACTTTGGGAATTCCCCTCTAAAGTCTGTCTATATCTAGTAATACACAGTATATAGAGACTTTTTCTTTTTCTAAATCAGCAAACCAAAAGACTGATTCTATTAGGGAAACTGAAATCAAATTGAAGTTGGAATAACAAAGATTGGAATAACGGACAGAATAGAAGAAGGGAGGGGATCTTCTAAAGGATCTATCTGGTGGAGCGGAGAAAAGACCAAATGTTAGAGTATGGTAGAGTATGGTAGAGTATGGCACGAAGTAGACAGAAGCTTTGGGTTTTCTCGCCTTTCTACGGTATGAGCATGATTTGGCTAGGATTACAAGGGGAGACATCTCAATGGTTGATGAATTTTTGGCCCTCCTCCCAACAGACGGGTGAGGATTGAGACTAGATACGCAAGAGGCTTAGCGTCACGTTATAATCCTTGTCTATAATTCTTCTCCCCTCGATAGCACGAGTGAGCATCAAACATCTATCTCAACGACCTTTTTCTGGATCCAATCCAATATCATGGGTTTCAAGAATTGGGTGACCTACCTACCTAGGGAGTCGGGACCTCGTATGTACGGACTCCGGAGCGAATGTATTTCACCATGCTTTGCCCACATCGCCAATTGTTACACGCTTCTGGTAAGTAGGGCAAGAGGGCAGAGATGGTCGGCACATTTTTACTTTCTTTCCGCTGGACCCCTTGATTTGATTGTATGCATAAACCGGGGTTCTAAAGTGCAAACCCTAGCTTCAAAGGCGATCTGTCTTGCAAAACATGCCTACTATTCCTCGATCAAGAATCAAGAATCAGGATATATCGTGGGAAGAAAGTCATCAGCCTTCTTTTCCACGTCAACCATGCTATGTCTACATACCTGGTACCTGCCCATGGATCACATATTGATATTGATTACTCTCAGCGAGTTACAATCATGCCATTACTCCAGAGGCATTGGGAAATTGGAATGTTGTAAGCCGATATATCGACATTCCTACTCAACAAATGACATTGATTACATATCGACCTACCTAGGCACCTTTATTGAGAAGCTCCCAATCGTAAGACTAGCTAACCCAAGCACGAATGACAAATTACTCACTCTGGAATAATCTACATGTCTCGCCATGCTTTCCGCCAGTCTTCTCGCCGGAGACCCTTTTTATTTTGCTTTCCCCGATAAACTATGGTGCCACGAAGTTTCAGGGGGGCGAAAGGCAGAAAGAGGGGTGTCAGTTAGTAGTCAAGTACATACTACTCGTACATGGAGACTATTAGAAAATTCCAGAATATCCATACTCCGTTCAAAGAGGACACATTTAGGAGGGGATCTTCGGTTCCAGGACTAAACACGCTGCTGCTACTAGTAAAAATCTTCCCAGTTGGTGGTTCACATCTGTCTCAATACTTCACTGGCGGGAAGGACTATTGAAATGTGAAGTGTGAAAATGTGAAATGTGTAAGGTGTAAGGTGTAAGGTGTAAGGTGTAATGCAATGTGCAATGTGAAATGTTTGAAACTCCATCTTCATTCTCCTTTCCGTCTACTCTGGACGATCCCATGTCCCCAAGTCAGATGACTCTTTGCTCTTCCACTCGAACCAAGTGCCAAATTCCAAATTCCAAATTCCAAATTCCAAATTCCAAATTCCAATGCCCTCGAGGTTGTGTGACAAGTGACGTTCATGCGAGATAGATAACAAATACCAAGACCGCTCAAGGCTGACTATCTGACGACTTTATTTGACAGGGTCCCTTGATGACCCAGTCACGACCCAGTAAAAGTATAAAGTGGTAGTGGGTGAATGCATTTTCAACCCCCTCCTTGAGCTTGGTGCCCCAACAAATCTCTAACTAAATTGGGTCTCTTCCCCTGTACCGGTGAATGATTTTTTGGCGTTACGTTGAGGGCGAAGCTTTGGCAGATTTGGTAGAAATGTTAGAATTATATGAGAATTATTGGAGAATTGTTAGAAAAGCTTCCATCTTAGTGCTACCTACCTACCCTACCTTTGGCCGCAAAGAAGGGAGACTTGAACTTGATCCTGAACTTGATCCTGAACTTTCTTTTTCCAAAATCATATCTAAGAAAGGCAGAACCTAACGCAGATTGCTATCTTCTGCTGAAAATCTTCACACTTCTGTTCATCGCTTCATATCTCACATCTTCAATTAATAAATCCTCTCTCTCTCTCCCTCTGTCTCATACCTACATTTTTTTGCATCTTGGTGGAGCGATTGTATCCTTGTTAGAACAAAAGACCGTCTGTAACTTTTTACACTACACCACATCAAATCCCTTTTCTCCTGCTCTTGATTGAGTTTCTGGAGTCCTGTGAAAAAATGTGAGTACAATCCAATAATCCATCGTTTAGTGTTGAACGACACCTTTTGACCGAGTACCTTTTATTGATCTCTGCAAAACTAGTTAAAGACAAATTCACCACTTCTACACATACAACGCACAATCTACCACTCGCCATCATGTACGGTACTGCCACCGGCCCTCAAACGGGCGTCTCAACACCACGATCCTCATCATCTCTGCGACCACTCGTTCTCTCACATGGCTCATTAGAGCATTCATTTTTGATACCCACAAATATTCATTTCCAAGCTTCTCAGATCAAAGACCGTTTTCTGGCTTCCCTTCCCGAGCCAACGGACGAACTCGCACAAGATGACGAGCCTTCGTCTGTGGCCGAGCTTGTTGCCCGATATTTGGGGTTTGTAGCACAAGAAGTTGATGAGGGAGAAGACGATGCGCAAGGATCATATGAAGAGGTTTTGAAACTCGTTCTGAACGAATTCGAACGTGGTTTCTTGAGAGGCAATGAGGCTCACGCTTTGGTTGCCACTCTTCCTGGAATTGATGCAAAGAAACTCAAGGTAGTCGAATCCTACTATGCTGCGCGTGCAGCTAGCAATAGGCCAATTCGCCCTCACGAATCAGCATTGTTTAGAGCAGCTAGCGACGACGAAGCCAAGATTTATAATGTTTTTGGTGGACAAGGAAATATCGAAGAATACTTTGATGAGCTTCGGGAACTGTATAGCACATATGCAGTCTTTGTAGAGGATTTAATCACCGAATCTGCAGAACTGCTGCAGAGTCTATCGAAGGATCCCAGAGCCGAGAAATTATATCCAAAGGGTTTGGACATTATGTCTTGGCTTCATGATCCTGAGTCCACTCCAGATCTTGATTATTTGGTTTCTGCACCAGTCAGTTTCCCACTGATTGGTTTGGTACAGCTCTGTCATTATGCTGTGACCTGCAGAGTTTTGGGACTTACTCCTGGCCAATTCAGAGACAGGATTAGTGGAACAACTGGTCACTCTCAAGGTGTTGTTTTGGCTGCTGCTACGTCTGCTGCAGACTCGTGGGAATCATTCGACAAGGTCGCAGTTTCAGCTCTTACAATCTTGTTCTGGATTGGATCCCGCAGTCAGCAGACATTCCCAAGAACTTCTCTCGCACCCAATATTCTCCAGGACTCCGTAGATAATGGCGAAGGAACACCCACCCCTATGTTGAGCATCCGTGATTTATCGCAAGCTCAAGTTCAGGAACATATCGACGCAACCAACAAATATCTTCCAGAAGATAGACAAATCGCCATTTCTCTGATCAACAGTGCTAGAAACATGGTTGTTTCAGGACCTCCAATTTCTCTGTATGGTCTTAACCTTCAATTACGTAAAGTCAAGGCTCCAACTGGTCTCGACCAGACCAAAATTCCGTTCACAGAGCGCAAAGTTAGATTTGTAAACAGATTCTTGCCAATCACATCACCTTTTCACAGCAAATATCTTGCTGAAGCTACAAACCATATCAACGAAGATCTAAAGGACGTCAAGATTGATAGCAAAGCATTGGGCATTCCTGTCTACGACACTAATACTGGAAAGGACATCCGGGATGATATTCAGGGCAATATTGTGCCAACTTTGGTGCGTTTGATTACCCACGATACTGTTGAGTGGGAAAAGGCTACAGTTTTCCCAAATGCAACTCACGTTCTTGATTTCGGCCCTGGTGGTGTATCTGGTCTCGGCGTTTTGACCAGCCGCAACAAGGATGGAACCGGCGTTCGTGTTATCCTAGCTGGCACAGTCAGTGGTACCGTTCCAGAGGTCGGCTACAAGCCCGAGCTTTTCGATCGTGATGAGGAACACGCCGTCAAATATGCAGTTGATTGGGTAAAGGAGCATGGTCCCAAATTGGTCAAGACCTCTGCCGGTCAGACATTTGTGGACACAAAGATGAGTCGAATCTTGGGAGTTCCCCCTGTCATGGTTGCTGGTATGACACCATGTACTGTTCCTTGGGATTTCGTTGCTGCGACCATGAACGCCGGTTATCAAATTGAGTTGGCTGGAGGTGGATACTACAATGCCAAAACTATGACCGAAGCGTTGAGAAAGATTGAGAATGCCATTCCAGCTGGTCGTGGTATTACTGTCAACCTTATCTACGTCAACCCACGGGCTATGCAATGGCAAATTCCACTCCTCGGGCAATTACGTGCAGAAGGTGTACCAATCGAAGGTCTCACAATTGGTGCTGGTGTACCTTCCATCGAGGTGGCACAAGAATATATTGAAACTCTTGGCTTAAAACATATCGCATTCAAGCCAGGATCCATGGACGCCATTCAAGCTGTTATCAACATTGCAAAGGCCAACCCAACTTTCCCAGTCATTCTTCAATGGACTGGAGGACGTGGAGGCGGACATCACTCCTTTGAGGATTTCCATCAACCAATTCTCTCAATGTACTCGCGCATCAGAAGACAGGAGAACGTTCTCTTGGTCGCAGGCAGTGGTTTCGGTGGCGCAGAAGACACTTATCCTTATCTCACCGGTGCATGGTCAAAGAATTATGGCTACCCCCCAATGCCATTCGATGGATGCCTCTTTGGTAGTCGTGTAATGACAGCCAAGGAAGCATATACCAGCAAAAATGCCAAGAAAGCCATCACTGAAGCTGAAGGTCTTGATGATGCCGCATGGGAGAAGACCTACAAGGGCCCTGCGGGTGGTGTTATTACTGTTCGATCTGAAATGGGTGAGCCAATTCACAAATTGGCAACTCGTGGTGTTAAATTCTGGGCTGAGATGGATGCCAAGATCTTCAGTTTACCAAAGGAAAAGCGAGTACCTGAGTTGAAGAAAAACCGTGATTACATCATCAAGAAGCTGAATGACGATTTCCAAAAGGTTTGGTTTGGACGAAACAAAGCTGGGGAAACAGTCGATCTTGAAGACATGACATATGGTGAAGTTGTTCGCAGAATGGTAGATTTGATGTATGTCAAGCACGAGTCCCGCTGGATCGACAAATCATACATTAAGCTCACTGGTGACTTCATTCGCCGTGTTGAGGAGCGTTTCACAACTGGTTCAGGACAGCCATCCAAACTCCAATCTTACGCAGATTTGGAAGATCCTTACCCAGCTGTGGAAAAGATCCTAGCCGCTTATCCAGAATCGGAGAAACAGCTCATCAACGCTCAAGATGTTCAGCACTTCCTTATGCTTTGCCAGCGTAGAGGTCAAAAGCCAACTACTTTCGTGCCATCTCTTGACGAGAACTTTGAGTTCTTCTTCAAGAAAGATTCTCTTTGGCAATCTGAAGATCTCGAGGCTGTCATCGGTCAAGATGTAGGCAGAACCTGTATCTTGCAAGGTCCAATGGCTGTCAAATACTCAAAGGTTGTCGATGAGCCAATCAAGGAAATTCTCGACGGTGTTCACAACGCACACATTAAGTTTTTGACCCAAGATATCTACGGTGGAGATGAATCCTCTATCCCAGTGCTTGAATACTTTGGTGGCAAGCTCATTGAAACTGAGGAGGAGGTCGACGTTGAAGGTCTCACAATTTCGGAAGATGCTGACAAGACCACTTACCGATTGTCATACTCTCCCACTGCCGTTCTACCATCTCTCGAGGCTTGGCTCTCATTGCTTGCAGGCCGTAAGAGATCTTGGCGACATGCTCTCTTCACTTCAGAGGTATTTGTTCAAGGACAAAAATTCCAAACAAACCCAATGAAACGAATCTTCTCTCCTGTCAAGGGTCTTTTTGTTGAGATCGCTTATCCTAACGATCCTTCAAAGACCGTAATCACCGTCAAGGAGCAACCTAGACCAAATCACTACGTTACAGTCATTGACGTGAAACTGGTTGGCAAGAACGAGATCTTGGTCAACATGATCAAGGACACAACTGCTGTCGGCAAGCCAGTATCTCTTCCATTGAAGTTCACATACCACCCCGAGGCTGGTTATGCTCCAATTCGCGAAGTCATGGATGATAGAAATGACCGTATCAAGGAATTCTACTGGCGAGCCTGGTTCGGTGGTGAGACTCTCGACCTCGACGCTTCCGTCACTGGCATCTTCAATGGTGGTAAGGCTACCATCACCAGTGAAGCTATCAACGACTTTGTTCACGCTGTTGGAAATACTGGAGAAGCTTTCGTTGACCGACCTGGTAAGGAGGTTTTCGCTCCTATGGACTTTGCTATCGTTGTTGGATGGAAGGCCATCACCAAGCCAATCTTCCCTAGAACAATCGATGGTGATCTTCTCAAACTCGTGCATCTTTCTAACGGGTTCCGCATGATCCCTGGAGCTGAGCCATTGAAGAAGGGTGACGAAGTCGAAACTACAGCCCAGATCAATGCTGTTCTTAACCAAGACTCTGGTAAGATGGTCGAGGTGTGCGGTACTATTACCAGAGAAGGCAAACCAGTAATGGAGGTTACTTCACAATTCTTGTACAGAGGTGCATACACCGATTTTGAGAACACCTTCCAGCGCAAGACTGAGACACCCATGCAAATCCATCTTGCTACCTCGAAGGACGTTGCTGTCCTCAGATCTAAGGAATGGTTCAACTTGGATGAGCCAGATCACGAGTTACTTGGTCAAACCTTGACTTTCCGTCTCGAGAGTCTTGTCCGCTTCAAGAACAAGACCGTTTTCTCAAGTGTTGAGACTAGGGGTCAAGTTTTGTTGGAGCTTCCAACCAAGGAGATCATCCAAGTTGCGAGCGTCGAGTACGAAGCTGGCGTGTCTCATGGTAACCCAGTCATTGATTACCTTGAGCGTCATGGATCTTCAATTGAACAGCCAATTAACTTCGAGAACCCCATCCCTCTCAATGGAAAGACTCCTCTCTCTCTCAGAGCACCAACATCCAACGAAACCTATGCTCGTGTTTCGGGTGATTATAACCCTATCCACGTTTCTCGTGTCTTTTCTAGCTACGCAAACCTGCCTGGTACTATCACCCATGGTATGTACTCAAGTGCAGCTGTTCGCAGCTTAGTCGAGACCTGGGCTGCAGAGAACCACGTTGGTCGTGTTCGCAGTTTCCATGCTCAACTGACAGGTATGGTTCTTCCAAACGATGATATTGAAGTCAAGTTGCAACATGTCGGTATGGTTGCTGGTCGTAAGATCATCAAGGTTGAGGCTAGCAACAAGGAGACTGAAGATAAGGTCTTACTTGGTGAGGCCGAAGTCGAACAACCAGTCTCAGCCTATGTGTTCACTGGTCAAGGTTCTCAAGAACAAGGTATGGGTATGGAGTTGTATGCTAGCAGTCCTGTTGCCAAGGAAGTATGGGATCGTGCCGACAAGCATTTCATGGACAACTATGGTAAGTCACTCAAGTCTCTTTTTATGACATCATTTCTAACAATACATCAGGTTTCGCCATCACCAACATTGTCAAGAACAACCCCAAGGAACTCACTATTCACTTTGGTGGTCCTCGTGGTAAGGCAATTCGTCAAAACTATATGTCTATGACTTTCGAAACTGTCGGTGCCGATGGTTCCATCAAATCTGAGAAGATGTTCAAGGAAGTTGACGAACGTACTACATCCTACACCTACAGATCACCAACTGGTCTTCTCTCCGCCACTCAATTCACACAACCCGCCTTGACATTGATGGAGAAGGCAAGTTTCGAAGACATGCGCTCCAAGGGTCTTGTTCAACGTGATAGCAGTTTCGCTGGTCACTCCCTCGGAGAATATTCTGCCCTTGCTGCTTTGGCAGATGTCATGCCAATTGAGAGTTTGGTTTCTGTCGTCTTCTACCGAGGTTTGACTATGCAAGTCGCTGTCGAACGTGATGCCTCTGGGAGATCCAACTACTCTATGTGTGCTGTCAACCCTAGCAGAATTTCCAAGACCTTCAACGAAGAAGCCCTTCAATATGTTGTTGCAAACATTGCTGAAGAAACCAGTTGGTTATTGGAAATCGTCAACTACAACATTGCCAACATGCAATACGTTTGTGCTGGTGATCTCAGAGCTCTTGACACTCTCACTGGTGTGACCAACTATCTCAAAGCTCAAAAAATTGACATTCAAGAGCTCATGCAGACCTTGAGTCTCGATGATGTCAAAGCACATCTTGTCGAAATCATCCGCGAATGTGCTAAACAAACCGAAGCCAAGCCCAAACCCCTTGATCTCCAAAGAGGTTTCGCTACCATCCCTCTCAAGGGTATTGACGTACCTTTCCACTCCACATTCTTGAGAAGTGGAGTCAAGCCATTCAGAAGTTTCTTGCTCAAGAAGATTAACAAGACAACTATCGATCCTAGCAAATTGATTGGAAAATACATTCCTAACGTTACAGCTAGACCTTTCGAATTGACTAAGGAATATTTCGAGGATGTTTATCGTTTGACTAATAGTCCAAAGATTGGTAATGTGTTGGCTAATTGGGATAAATACCAAGATGGTTATGAGGAACCTAGTGGGGATGAGGTGGAGGCAGAGACAAACGGTGTTAATGGAACTCATTAAATGAATCGAGTTGAGGATTAGATCATTTGAAGGGAAAATGATGATGAGTTGATGGGTGGGTATTGATCAAAGGCTTTGCTTTGTTTTGCGGGCGTCGGAGTATGTTTATAAGAACGCATGCATCTGCTGGAATGATAGATGAAAAAATGGATGGACCGTCACACTTAGATTAGATGGTAGATGGATCGATCATTCGGTCGTGGGCTAGATGGTTGTTAGTTAGTTTATGATGATAGCATATTGTAATTCTTTTCTGTTAGATTTTGAGATTTTCCTATACATGGTGTTTCATGAGATCATTGATTTGTCATGGTGTTGGTATTGGTGATAGTATCACTGCAGAGATACACTATCCATTCAGAAGGGCAGTTTCAAAAGGCTTTCTATGGATTTACTTGGCGGTATGCTTTCAATAATGTACTCATCTCAGACTATGGTAGTGCCGAACGTGTTCTTAACCTCACTTCAAAGGGTTTCCGTTCTACAACCGTGAAAACTCTCTGCTCCTCCCATTTCAGATTCCCAGCCTCACTATCTGCCTTCTCCAACTCAAACCTCCACACCATTCTCGCAAGCACAAGTTGTAATTCCGCCATCGCCAGAGGTCTCCCAATACAAGAGCGAGGACCCACGCCAAAAACTTGTACTGCATTGCGATTGTCGTTATAAAAAGGAGACGAAGAATCGTTTGCTGCGAGCCATCTCTCGGGGTGAAATTCAGACGGTTTGTGGAAATATTCGGATGATAAGGAGATGGATAGGGGATGCACGTTGACAAATATATTTTCTGGGAGATCGTATCCGCATACTCGGGCGCCGCCTGGAGGTACGACGCGCGGGAGACCGACTGGACTGTGAATTGTTTGTTAGATTTGGGATAGAGTAAGTAAGAGAAGGGGTTTCTTACGTGGGATTGCAGAGTCTGAAGCTTTCTTGAATGACCGCATTTAGATAGGAGGTTTCTTTAAGCGTAGCAATTGATATTTCCTCCTCTTTCTCGAATTTCTCTCGGATTTCCGAGGTGAGGAAAGCGAGTTCCAGAGGATTGTTCACGAGATAATTCGTAATAACGCTCAGAACACTAACTGTCGTTTCGCTTCCGGCAACAATGATAACGCTAGCTGTCGCTTGCAACTCCTGAATCGACAACCCTTCTTTCCCCTCCTCATCGCGTTTAATCAGGGAGATGATATCCGGTCTCGGTGTTTTTCTCTCCAGTCTTCGGTTTATTTTCTCAACAGCCAAGTGCCAATGTTCCATCTGTTTCCTGACCACACACCTCGGTACAAAATACGCAAGCATCCAACTCAATCCCGGATAATAACCCAGCGAAGCTCGATACGTCGCTGCGCGCAGAGAATTAAAGATCATCGAGACCCAAGGATGATATTCCTCGCTCTCCAAACACTCAAAGGATTCTCCGAATCCCAAATCCCCAATGAGATCAAAAGTGAAGAATCCATACCAGCGAACTATATCCACAACCACTCTCTCGGCTGTATCCGCATTCTCCTCTACGAGATCTTGTAAACGCGTGATCAGAAAATCAACACACGTCCTAATCAATCTCTCCTGACTCCCCACCGCCCTTTCCGTAAACGCCCGCTCCATCGCCCTGCGAAACCTCCTGTGCGTCGCGGGCTCCAGCGCATTAAGTACAGATACTGGTTTCCCAGATTTAGCACCATGCCAGAGGGTACTTTTCGGGAACGCTGATTAGAATAGATATCGTGCCACGCGCGCGGGTTTGCGATGGAGAGTTCGTCGGGGGCTATACGCACGATGTTTCCGTATTTGTGGTGGAGAGCGTACACGTCTTGGGCGAGATGTCCGCGCCAGAGTGAAGTGATGTAGGGGATGCGGGTGGAAATCCAGGGGGTGGGACCGGGGAAGGAGGAGAGGGGGTGCAGGTAGATGGTGGCGAGTGTGTGGGAGATGATGTACTGGGGATTGTGAGTACGCGGCATGATATCAGGAGTTTTTATGTATACGTACGAAAATACATATTACTAGCACAGCAAAACTCCATTCCTTGAATGTCAATTCGGGAGAAATGAGACCGGCTAAGAAGGTACCCATATTCTCTTCTGGGAATTGAACATGGACTTGAGAATTTTTCAAAGGCCAATGCTATTCCATACAACTTGAAACACTTGAAAAAGTTAAGAATGAAAACATGAGGCGGTAATTTTAGTTATTTATATATTTTAAAATGGTTAATTGAAGAGGGGTAAAGGCATTCCAACTCTTTTAAATCTCAAACAGTTGACCTTACCTGCATACTGTGCCGCATTTATCTGATCTATCTACACAAGGGTTCGGATAATTTCATCCATTTTCTTGTTTGCAAAATCCAACTGTTGCCATCGTGTATTCTCATTACATATAAGTCTTCCGCCGAAATGTCGGAATTGACCATGAAATGGTAGAGGTAAAAGGTGTTTATGGGAAACAATGTGAACTTCATACCTAGTTTGGCTGGCCCATCCCATGGCCAATCAAGACCCCACAATCAACATTTATGAAGAGGCATTCTGATCTAAAACTTTCCTTGAATTGTAGGTGTATCATGATTTTGTATTTCATTCTGCATATTCGTGAACGCGTTCGTGTATTCATACTCATGTATGCATCTATTAAATTCATCATCCTCTATCATCCCCATTCCTTTCCCATCTCCTCAAACCGACTACCATCACCCTCCTCATTTTCCCTTCCCCTTCCCATCTTTTCCCTTTCCCTCATCCTCAACCCTAACCTTCATGACATCTGGTACCTCTACACCCTCGACCTTATAAATCAACCCTCTGTACCCATCGCTGACAACCCAAACATCGAATACTCTTCCATCCATGATATTTCCCTCCTCTCCTTCTTCCGTTCCAGGAAATTTAAGTGTTGCTTTTGCTTGAGGTTTGACTCCTACGCCTATCACACTGGTGTTTTGTCTTCCCTCATCTCCGTTGCCAACATTTCCACCCTGAGCACCTTTACCCTTCAAGTTGGTCTTAGGGGCACTCCAACCCAATCTCTTAATAGCAGCCACCTCATCACTTCCTTTGCTACAAAGCACAACAAACCAGCCCTCACTTTGACTTTTGGGGAATCGAGGCGCATACATTTTACCCTCCTTATCCACCAATCCATTGAGTCTCTTGATCACAACGTCCATCTTCAACGCCGTAACATTTTGTACTTCAATTTTCAAGTTTGGTATCATATTTGCTGCTTTATCGAAAGCCTGCATATTTCTACTTGGAAGTTGTAGTTTGTTTTTAAGAGATTGATACGCGTTCTGAGGTAAGGCTGAGAATTGTTGAAGTGATGTGGGAATGTCGTTGTCCTTGGATGGTTTGAAATCGGGAGCTACACCAGGGAAGATAGACAAAGCGTGGTCTTCGGGCCAACGAGCTGATTTGATACATTGAAGTAAAGTGATCATTTGCACAACACTTGATAGATATCCCAATTCCGTAAGAACATCGATGGAAGCTTGAATAATACGGATAGCTTGGTCGAGGACACTAGTTTGATCACCCACATAATCAGAGATGGGAAGGTCAATCCTGCTCATGTGGGCCTGAAGCAGCAAAAATGCTTTCACGTGAGGATCCCACATTGGAAGGCCATTGAAATGTGCTGCGTCTGCTGGGAGAGGTAGGTTCTTGGAAAGTTCGATGTTAATGAGATCTTCGTTATGGCGAACGGGGAGCTCGTCGTATTCAGTTGCGGAAGACATCCAAGAAAGTACATCGCGGAATGAAGCATTTGGTTTAGCATGTTTAACTAGGTGACGAATGGTTTTGTGAGAGAGATAGTAGTAGGACATGATTTTTCCGAGAGGGGTAGAATCGATGTTGCCATTGGGGTAGATTTCCAGACATTTGGATTCGGCGAGCTCGTCCAATGACTTATCTACCATTGAGATCATGTAATCATTGGCCATTTGTTGAGCAGCAATGGTATTGTGTTCTTCGGCCGAGATTTCAAGGCCATAGTATGAAGGGTTTTTATGGAGACGTCGGAAGAAGAATGTCCAGGTTAGATAATCTAAAGCATCTTGTTTGGTAGTGATGGTTTCAGCGGATACTTCAGCGCCAAGATGGTTATCTAGGACATTGTGAAGTGAGGATTCTACTGGGAAACCTGTATGTAGGAAATGTTTGTAAAATGCTTTCTTTGAATCTTGAGTGAAGATACGAGCAATTCCTGAAGTATCGAACTGAGGACGTCCAGCACGACCTAACATTTGTAGAACATCTGTCAAGTCCATATCTTTGTATCCTTCAGTCTTAGCGTCGAAGAACTGAGTACCCTTTACAACGACTAAATGAGCTGGAAGATTGACACCCCAAGCTAGAGTGGATGTTGCAACGAGAATCTGAATTTTGTTGTTGGCAAAGAGCTCTTCGGCTAGTGAACGATCAGATTCAATCAAACCAGCATGATGCAAACCGATACCAAAACTCAGGGCTTCCTTCAAAGCGTCATCCTTGACTCGGGCAAGGTTCAGTTGGAGATCTTCCTCAGACATCTTGACAAATCGACGAGGATTATCCTCCATACCACAGAAGTTAATCAAGTCCTTGGCTGTCAAACGTGTTTGTCTACGAGAAGCAACAAAAACGATGACCGGTTTTTCTGGACTGTGTGTTTTAATGGCCAAGAAAGTCGGTCTATTCATAGATTGCATCAGAGGGCAGAAGCCTCGGACCTCTGGGAAACCATCGATAAAAATTTCCAATGGAACAGGTCTAACGGAATGCCTGAAGTTAAATAATCCTTCCTTAACACCAAGCCAATTTCCTAAATCCATAGCATTGGCGCACGCAGTCGACATACCCATAAGTCTGACTGAGTTATTGGTCTGAGTTGCAATGTAATTCATACGAGAAACAATGATCTCCAGAATAGGACCACGATCTCCACCGAGCAAATGGATTTCATCAATAATAACCAAGCTAACTTGTCGAACATAACCTCTCGTAGTCCACGAACGACTGATACCATCCCATTTTTCTGGAGTAGTAATAATGATGTCCGCATCTCGAATAGTTCGTGTATCAGGTGTATTGTCACCTGTCAACTCAACCAATTTCAAGCCCATTTGTCTAGTCAATCTAGCTCCCCAATCTTTGACTCGCTCACGAACAAGTGCTTTCATGGGAGCGATATAGACAACCTTAGAGCCAGGCTTCTCTCGGAATGCCCACCACATAGCCAACTCACAAGCAATAGTCTTCCCAGATCCGGTTGGTGACCCAAGAAGAACATTTGCTGGTGTATGATACAAAGTGTGAAAGATCTGAGTTTGCATAGGATTGAAAAATTGAAAGCGTTTGCCATAAATCTCTTCCAGGGCCGGGTTCTTCAGGGCAGTAATTGGTAGAGGTTGAAGATTCAAAAGATCAGTATACACACTTTCAGTGTCCGGTCTGATTAAATGTTGGAAAGAAATTGGATACACCGTTTCGGCGCCCAACCATCTATCAGAAACTGCTCTTACATAGATCTGCGTAGGGAGCGGATCCGATAGTGGAATAGTGAAGCTGAGTTCATGGTCGTCGTATAACTTCTTTCTGTTCAGAATGAAGAATTCATGATGGTATATTTCAGAAGTTTCCGAGTTTTCAACCCAGATCCAGTAACTTTCTGATGTACCATTATGACGATCGTTCCATTTGAACTCCGGCGTGAGGTAGAGACGAATTCTCAATACATCTCTATTTAATGGAGCAATTTCGGCTTCCACGCTGAGTGTAGGAAAATTATCAAGAATCCTTGAGATTGTCCTTCCAGCACCAGGATTGTGTACCATGGCACCAATCTCAGCTGCATCCATCTCTTTTAGAGTTTCGATGGAAAGATTTTCTTTATCATCAAGCTGTTTAAGAATTGGCTGGGCTAACTCAAATTGATGAAGAGGATGTTGGAATGGCCAAATTCTCTTCTCAATCGACTTGCATAGTGAGAGAAGCACAAGACATTGGTGGCCCCAACGACGATTCAAAGCAATCATGAATAATGCACGGCAAATTCTGGCCGATTGCTGAGCAACATAGTTTGTATCGTTGGCTAGAGCAAAGTCCTCAAGTTTGGCTCGAGATATGTAAGATTGTAAAAGAATATTCGTCTTGGCGTGTGAGGAATCAGTTCCACCTTTCACCTGACAAGGAGAGAAGTCTTCTCTCAAGCTGGTAAGCTCCTTTGACTCGCTGTCTCTTGATTGAATTTGATCAAACTCTCCACTCATAGCAATCATCGTGAGAACATCAGCCTCGGAAGATTGAGGTTGCATCATGGTGTTGAATATCTGAATACTAGTATGGAGGACATAAAATTGACTGGCAATACGTCCAACATCCTTACTTCTGAGCTCCTCGGTCGTTTCATTGAAGATAATCATTTGGCTTTGCTGAAGTGTCTTTGCTGCTTGAATGCATAGTTGTCTTCGACGCTGTACCAAATTTGGATCATCGCGAGCTTCAGCCCAATCGATGCCATAAGTCAAAGGATCTCTCTTCATTCGAACGAATAAATAAGAATACCCAAGCCATGCGACAGCTTCAGGAATCGATGTGACTGTCCCCAAACCGATTTCAGCGTTAAGATTATCCACGAGATGTTTCGAGAATCGAGACTCGATGGGGACTTGAGATGTGACGGCCTGGAGATAATGATCAAGCTTATCCGCTGTCGTACAAATCATACCAATACCAGTATCCTGAAATTGTGGTCTACCTGCACGACCGAAAATTTGAAGAACGTCCAAAATTCCCAGGTCGATAAATTTACCTTCTTGAGCACTGTAAACTTGTGTACCTTTGATTACTACTGCTGCGGCAGGCAAGTTAACACCCCATGCCAAGGTAGCTGTACAGACAAGAACTTTGAGAACACCACTTCCAAATAATCTCTCCATTAGGTTTCTGTCTGAACGAGCCATACCTGCATGATGAATACCAATACCCTTTGGTACCAACTCCCGAAGTTCACGCCCTCGTGAGCTCTTCATATCCTTCACAGCTGCTTCATATTGAGGATGATTAGTGGGATCGAATAGATCTACACAAACTTGCTCTATAGCCTTTTCATACAACATCTTAGCAGTGTTAAAAGTGTCCTTCCTGGAATGAACAAAGACCATGACTTGGTGATCAAGTTCCAGCATCTCTCGGACTTTTTCGAATGCAGTTGTATCAATATTCTCTCGTGATTGTCTGGTTCCAGCTTTCCCTTTGACTCCGATGAAGTGCTGTTCGAGAGGTACAGGTCTGAAGCTAGCGTCGAAGTAAAATAGACCTGCGTAACGGTTGACTTTGAGGAAGTCGGCCACATCGATATAGTTCGGAAGGGTAGCAGACAGTCCTACAATACGGATGAGAGATTGGGTGCTCTCAACTTGACGTTCAGTACGGGCAACTAATGATTCCAGGACAGAACCTCGATCATCGTGAAGCATATGTACTTCATCAATAATCAAAAGTCGAACCTTTTGAACCAATTCAGTATCTCCAGTGCCTTTTCGAGTAACCACGTCCCATTTTTCAGGAGTTGTGACGATAATTTGAGTTTGGGTAATTTCCTTCTTAGTGAGATGCATATCACCAGTAAATTCGCGAACTTGTATACCCAACCACGCTAGACGACTACCTAGCTTTTGTGTGATTTCGGCTGCCAAGGCTTTCATTGGGGCGACATAGACAATCTTGAAGTCATTGAAATTGACCACAAAGTCTGAAGATTCGGGATTCTCTGATGGGTGTGGTGAAACATTTTCTCCAATGGCGTGAAGTATCGTAAGCATTGCTGCATCAGTTTTACCAGCACCAGTGGGAGCACAAATCAACATATTTTCGCTGGTCTTGTATGCTATTGGATAGACCAAACTCTGCATTCGATTGAGAGACTTGTAACCCTTGAAAGTTCTCTTGCAAAGGCCATCCATCTCGGAAATCTCGACTAATCTTCGACCTGCACCTAAAGTTCCAACCTTTCCAGCCGGTACAGTATATTCTGAGTACCTCTCGTGTTCTGTTCTCTCACTACCTACCGGTAAAGCATACTTCTTTCCTCTCGAATCCAGGATATTACCAGCATGATGCGACTTGTACACGTGGGGGTATTTTTCTTCGTCGCGATTAATGGACGGTCCTAGTGCGGCATGTTTATGCTCATAATCTCTCTGTCTTAAGGCTGCTTCCCTTTCCTTCCTGGTCTGTAATTTTCCAGTAAAGATGCCATCATCTTGAGTTCCAATAGAACGTGCAGCGGCGGTAATATCCTTACGGTGGGAGATAACTTCAATGGCAAATTCTATATCATCGAAGCCGATCATGTCAATCAAAGTAGACTGAAGCTCTTCCTCTCCACTGTCAGACCCTAAGATTGCCATGATTTGTTCCTGGAGGTCGTTTCCTGAAAGTCCCTGCTTCCTCTGAGCAATCTCCATACATTTGCTCTTCAACCATTGAGATCCATAGTTGCCTGCACCAGCGGAGTCAGAAAGACTAGGAAAATCATCGTTGACATCGCTGCTGGACAAATCATCATCCTCGTCACTAATGAAGTCCCAAACATCATCACCGCTATTTCCGGAAGTAAATTCATCATCGTCGTCGAAATCAACGTCGATATCATATGATTTAGTATCCCCATTTGTCGAGCTCGGAGGCAAATTCAACTCTGCCAAGGCGTTTTTCATAGCAGCAAGTTGGGCTTGCCATTGCACTTCAGCTGAATCCAGCGTCGAAGAAGACATGATTTCCACACAATCTTTATCAACTTCTTGGAAATGTAAAGTTCAATGAAGATTTCAGTTTGGGCTATCATGAAATATAAATAAAGCTGATTTATTAGCTGATTCACGCGGCGGGGAGTAATCAGTGGGGCTAACCGGGCATAATAAAATCCGTCGTCATACTGTAACCCCCATGTGATTGTACAGGATACAGCCCAGAGTTTCAACATCAAGAACAAAGCAAAGCCACATCCTTCCAAACCTACACCTATCTTTGCTATCAAGACCTCAATCACTCTTACAATCAACCCCAAATCGCAAAAATGAAGTTGCATTATATCGGAGTTCGTTCACAGATCTCGCAGTGATAATGTCATCAGGCTGACCGCTATCAGATAATCAAGAACTCGGAGACCCCCTCACATGAGCTCTGCTGCGTGAAAGAGTTGAGCGCATATGGCCGATTTACTAGAAACAGGTTAGATTATAACTATCGTTCTGCATGGGACCAGACTGGTTAATAGGATTAATGTACAGTTACGGCGAATTCATGACGGTTTTCAGTAAGACAGTCGCTGAACGAACAAAGCCTGGCCAAAGGCAAGACATTGAACAAGATAGTAAATCTCAACTCCTCCAAATCACAACAAGACCCTCTATCTGACAATATCAGGTAACACATTCCACGCCTATGGACGTTCCGAAGGTGTCTGTGGTATAATAATTTCCGACCACGAATACCCAGCCCTCGTTGCCCATCAACTTCTCTCCAAAGTCGTCGATGAGTTCCTAAATGCACACCCTCGATCAGAATGGGCCGATTCAAACCCAACCCTCTCATTCCCCGAACTAAACGACTATATTGTGAAATACCAAGACCCGCAACAGGCAGATAGCATCATGAAGATCCAAAAGGAATTGGATGAGACGAAAATTGTGTTGCACAAAACTATTGAGAGTGTTTTAGAGAGAGGCGAGAAGATTGATACATTGGTGGCAAAAAGTGATGGCTTGAGTGCACAGAGCAAGATGTTCTATAGTGAGTTTATTAGGTTGCGATGGGAATTCACAAGGGCTTTTACTAATTCATAAAATAGCACAAGCAAAGAAACAGAACTCATGCTGCGTGGCTATGTAGATTGATGTATTTGATTGGCTATGGCGTTCTCATCTTTTTGATAGCATTCTCGCAGACATTGTTTCGATTGGAGGATGTAAATTGCAGTTTGAGGTTCGGGAATATTGGCGAGTGAGGTTGCAAAGTAGCTTAACTTCCAAGGCGACGTCTTAATACTTGAATGGTGCAAACACAAATGCCCGGTGGTCTTCAATATTTCCTCATCATTCATTAGCGAATTATAAAGGAGCATATGCTCTACTTTACTGTTTGCCATCTAGTGTATACTTCATAAGGAAGCCCAAATGTGAGCCAGTTTGGTGCCCCTTTTTCATATACAATCTAAATCGTCGTGAAAAACTAGGACATAGCATCATTCAAGCTCAGCTCATCTCGTGCCATAACATCATGTACATGTTCCGTGTTCCTTCGTAGTTCTTGTTAAGATTTCGTGGGTATCTGCCTATCCCCTTTTTCAAACAGGCAACTCTGCTCCCCTCATTGCAACCCCGCTTCTATCAACCATGGCTCCGATGTATGGGCCAATAATCGGTATGTTCCTTGCGAACCCAGCTATAGTCCCTAGGAAGTCACCAAATAAGATGAATATGCCGTACAATTCCACCAGAAATCCTGTAAATGGCCACCTCATGAGGATGAGTGCAAGTCCAGCGAAAAAGGCTCCGGTCCCTTAAGCTTTTGTCTCCGCGCAAAGAACGCCATTGTTTTTTGTGGTCCAATTATAACAGTTAAGCCGATCAAGAAGAGAATCTATATCGATATATTATAAGCTAGGAAGCCCCGTTTCAAGGCCCAGAAAATACGCACATTTCCCATAGCGAGCCTACAAGTTTATTAGTGTCACCTTCCTCGGTATCTTACGGAGAGTTCAAACATACATAGCTCTATCAAAAAACATCATAACACCTCCGATCAGGAAGAACCCGCCTTTCGAGACCTCATCAGCTATACTAGATCTGAAGCACAAACCGTAGAATTTCACCTACCACCTGAACAAAAGGCTACCCCAATCTCTATACGAAGTGTCCATTAGCATAAGCCCTACTAAATCATATAGCATGTCTGAAACTGGATCGATTGAACTCGGCGCAAATAGTCCAGAACCGTCTGGCTGCTGAAGTCAAGAACGTACTTTGGGAATCTGACAACCACATGGTAGGCATTTTGAATATCCTCCGAGCCCGGAAATTAGTAATGCGTAAGTATTTGAGTGTTCCTACAAGACACACTCGTAATGTAACAGTTGGTAGTAGAAGTAAAGCTGTCCTTAATGATCTTTTGTTGGAGTTCATTGAAAGAACGCGGCTTAGACGCGTCCGTGCCCATGACATGAGTTAGCGTCATATGCAGACCACAAAAGCTTAAATATAAATTTTACTCGGATTTCTCGAGTCTCATCTTGCTTGACACTCTTTACCAAAGCTATTCTTTGAATTGAAGATATTGAAACAACCACAATCAATATGTCAAATAGTAACATTGACTAAAACTTGAGATGTGTCAATAAGCCAACCAACAAGATTTGGAAGGAAATGCAAAGGAAATGTACCCTTTCAGGTCTCTCTTCATCTGAATCTGAAGTATCAATCCAACTGCACACTTGCATGAGGTAAAGTATTATGATTGCCACGACGAACCAGGACAATCTGTCCTGGTGACTGAGTTTCATTCTCTATATGTTCTCGGTACCACGTCATCTCTACTCGAGTAGGCAGATAATATTCATGATCGCGATTAAGCCGGAGCGTATTCCTGAACCAATCATTGAAAGATGATTGGTGGGTAGAATGAGCTTGACTTTGTCGGTCAGACATATCCTCGTACTGATTTCGACCGTTCTTGACCCTTTCTTCTTCAACCGCCTTAAAGGCTGATTCTATCCTTCTCAATCATACAAATCTTCCACCCAGAAGTCTGTCCTTGCCCCCTTGATCCTTCTGCCAGTATATATACACCAATATAACCAAGTAACCATTCTGAACCTTTGCGCATCGCACGTCGCTTGCCAATCTTCGGAGATGGTAAACTGTGTGTAGAGCAAAGCCCAGGCCGAGAATTACATCTTTTCCAAATGCTCCAACGCAATGCACTATCATCGCTTTTCACTTCAAGATAGTATGGGCTCCTCGTACTTCTAGATACTGCTCTGCAACCCCCTGACCTAAAGATCTAACAACCCCAAACACCTCTTTGTTGTGATATCGTAGCCTCGTCTTTGGATCCGTATATGGAGCTGGTAATCCTGTGATATCGCAGTAATGTTTTGAATGTGCCAGAGATGGTGCCGATTCAATATTCGTGTATGTTGCAGTAGGTGCATTAGAAAAGCCGCTCGTCCTCATATTTCGTTCCAATACCAATTTCGATAAGTTCTTGGAAGCTTGCGCGAGATTTGGTTGAAGTGTAGGAGCGCTCGTAGCGGCAGGTGTCATATCTCCATCAGTTGAGGTTGCATTATCTTCAGAAAAGGGTGTTGCAGCACCGCTGTTATCTTGTGTTGGCATGAGTGATGCTTCCTTTCGAACGGCGTCGCCGAGAATGGTCTTAATATTCTTATTACGACGCTGATTAGGTCTCCAGTGTGTATTTCGAAAGGGTTTCCTTACTGAGTGGACATCAAGCTTTTCGATGAGTGCTTGATGAGCTTCAGCTTCTGGAGTTGCTGGCGCCATGATTGATGACGATCGGTGGTTGATTTATGATTGTTTGATTGAAGTTGAATTGAATTGCTCTGCCTTCCTTCCGCCTTGTTGATTGCGCTTCGAGCTTCACAACAGCCGACCAATCAGGCAACGCATGAAACTTGTATCAACATCTACTATAAACACCAACAAAACAGTGACTTTGTCAAACATTACATTTCATAAACCAAACCACATCAACGGTAGAGACTATGGTAAGATTAAATATGTTGAGCTTCTATACAGGATAATGAACATTATGTAGGAAAATCCTCACGAGCACCAGCAAAACTTGCTTCTCTCACGAATCATCACCAACGTAGTAAGCATTTTAAGCACACCCACCAGGGCATCACACTGATTCAACTGCTAGGAGAAACTCAATGAAGCCATCATGCTTTTGAACAAGAATCTCCAGGTATGAGTGGGCTAGCAATCGCCGGTAAATGGTTACATGTAGCTGAACCAAAATTAGGAGATCAATAACGCAAACACAAATGTCGTTTTGGTTGCAGATATGTTCAAGAACTATCAATCCAATGTTCTCTTTCATTTAGAAGGTATTTGATTTTTACTGCCACAAGACTTATGCTAATTCGTTGAAAGCTACCGACAGTCTCAAGGAGCCATCATGATAGAACTGAAGAGAGTCTTTGTGAGAAAGGAGCTGGCGTTTTATGGCGGAGATTGATGTTAGACTGATTTCTGATTAATGACTTAAAAAGATAATTTCCACGACTTCTAAAATATCCTACAAAATTCGGTGCTGTAGATTGTAGATATAGATAGAGTAAGGTTAATCGTGATCTCCACATGTAACTGATACATGCATCTCAGCCTTGCCACAAAAATCTAGCCTTGTGAAGCGACAACATCATAAAGAGGAATAATTATCACTACAGAGCTTGACTTTAATACGTGTACTATTTAATCGGTTCTTTCGATCGCAAGGGTATGCAAACAATGATTTAGACCGCCACGAAAACCAACCACTACCTCTCTAGGAAGATGTCGCCCTCTGCCATGGACCTCGATGCGCCTGCATCAGAGCAACAAAACTCAATACCTCCTCCTACTCTATATCCTGCGAAAGATCTCCACTTTGACAAGTATGTTGAACCTCAGCCAGATGGATATCGAACAGCCAAATCGCGGGGATCTGGTCAAGCTGCGATAGTAATTGACAATGGTAATTCTGCGCTGGGCATCATTACTTGCATATCTCAAAAATACTAATACTTTTCGCTACAGGCTCATCGGTGACTCGAGCTGGCTGGTCTTTCGAGGACTCACCACGTCTCAATATCTTACCGCTTTTCTCTAAATATAGAGACAGGAAGATGGGCAAGACATATTCGTTCGTTGGCGCCGATGTCTATGCAGATACTACAGCTAAGGGCCACATGAGAAATGCCTTTGAGGCGGGAAGCGGGATTGTTAGCAATTGGGATGTTATGGAGCAGGTACTGGATTGCATCTTTCTCAAATTAGGAGTTGATTCAGAAGGCAGTGTGGACATGCCTGTTGTTATGACGGAAGCTGTCGCAAACTTACCGTACTCAAGGAAATGTATGGACTTCCCGTTGGACTCGCGAATTCTGCTAACAATACGGGATAGCTATGACGGAAATCATATTTGAATGTTATGGAGCACCATCTGTGGCTTATGGAATCGATTCTCTATTTTCTTACGACTACAATGGGGGCAAGACAGGACTTGTTGTATCTTCTTCCCATAGCTCTACACATCTTATTCCGGTTTACAATTCGAAAGCCATGCTTACCCAGGCAACAAGATTGAATTGGGGGGCATCACAAAGCGCCGACTACCTTTTAAAGCTCATCAAATTAAAGTATCCTAGCTTTCCTGGAAAGTTGGCTGCAACTCAAATGGAATATATGGTACAAGATCATTGTTACCTATCACGAGATTATGATGAGGAAGTGAGCAAGTTTCTCGATTGGACAGGATTAGAAGACAGAGACCGTGTCATTCAATACCCGTATACAGAAGTCATCGAGGTACAAAAGAGTGAAGAGGAATTAGCTAAGATCGCAGAGAAGAGAAAGGAGAGTGGACGAAGATTACAAGAACAAGCCGCCAAAATGCGACTTGAGAGATTAGTTCGCAAAGAACAAGAACTTGAGTACTACAGACATTTACAAGGCAAGTTAGTAGATCAAACAAAGAAGGAAATCAAAAGATTACTCGACGCTGAAGAGTTGAAAGACGAAGCTGCTCTCGAGAAAACCATCAAGGAACTTGACAAAAGCATTCGTAAGGCTCGAACCAAGGATGTCGGTGGACCGGAAATCGAGGAAGAAGTCGAAGAACCAGATTACTCTATGCTTGAAATCCCAGATGAGCAACTAGACGAAGCAGGCCTCAAACAAAAGCGTCATCAACGTCTCATGAAATCCAATAACGAAGCTCGCGCTCGCGCCAAGGCAGAGAAGTTAGCAGAAAAGGCTCGTATCGCTGAAGAACAACGCATAGATGATGAAAAGCGAGAAAATGATCTCGAAGGCTGGCTTCAAGAGCGTCGAGAAGCTCGAGCTACTATGCTTCAAAAGATTAAAGACAGAGAACGCCTCAAAGCAGACCTAGGGAACAGAAAGAGTCTCGCGAGTCAAATTCGCATGAAGAGTATCGCAAACCTAGCATCCGATAACCCGACTAAAAAGCGTCGTCGTGGAGGCGATGACGATAACTTCGGTCAAAATGATGATGATTGGGGAGTCTATCGTACCATTCAAACTGGAGACGGCGGTAGCGATGACGAGGAAGAAGAAGACCCCAGCGTTCTCCTCAAAACCCTGGAAGCGGATCTTTTGAAATATGATCCCGAATTCACGGATCAACATACTTTCGACGCGCAAACCGATTGGACCAAATCCCTCATTCATGCTTTTCTCCGCGGACCACGTCCCTTTAATCCAGCCAGCACGGCGGAAGCCCACCAACTCCATCTTAACGTCGAGCGAATCCGCGTTCCGGAAGTTATTTTCAACCCCAGCATAGCCGGGCTGGATCAAGCTGGAATTGTGGAAATCGCAGCTGATATTTTGAATCAGCGCATTTCAGGACCGGGCATAAATCAAAAGGATTTCCTAAAAGATATCTTTTTAACGGGAGGAAACACGATGTGGCAAAATTTTGATGAGAGATTGAGAGAGGGATTGAGAGCGAATTTGGAGGCGGGCACGGAAGTCAAGATTCGTAGGGCGAAGGATCAATTGCTGGATGCGTGGAAGGGAGCTGCGAAATGGAGTTGTGGGGAGAGGTGGAAGGAGGCGAGGGTTACGAGAGAGGAGTATCAGGAGAAGGGTGGGGAGTATCTTAAGGTATGTTTGTTTCTTGTTTTGTTTTTTTCTTCACTTTACTTCATCTCTATCCTCGTTACGTTCCATTCTCTTCTCTCCCATTCATCGTCTTCCCTTCTATCATCTTCCCATCAAATCTCTCTACTCAACCTCTGTATCTAAATCTGGATCTTGATGCATATCCGCACTCAAGACAGACAGACAAAATCCAAGAAACAAAAACCACCACGGTTCACTAACACGCGTGCAGGAACACGATCTCGGAAATGCATATTCGTGATCGATCGTTCGATCAATCATTCCATACCTACATCAAGAAAATCAAAATCAAAATCAGTAATCACTCCAAGCGAGGAGAGAGCATAGCATATCCTATCATATCATATCAATTTAAGCAGTTACCCACCTACCTACCTACCTACATATGTATGAGTGAGGTGAGATGAGATGAGATGAGTCATACAAGTTGGGATTTGGTTCTGGTTCTGGTTCCGGTTCGGTTTATTAGTTTAGGCGTTAGCTATGTTATTTTGTTTAAATAAAATCATTTTCATTATTGTTATTATTTGCATCTCTCTCTCTCTCTTTCTCTCTGGATCAGCAGCGATCTGAAGCTCCTATCCTATCCTCCGAGTTTCCCTTTATTTGACTTTGATTTGGAGATTGTTTACCTCGCCTGGAGGAGAGTAAAAGCATACAAATAGACGGACAGACAGACAGACAGAGAGAGAGAGAGAGAGAGATGGTATATCTGAAGATTTTCTATTATCATCATGATCACTAGACCTACTAAAATTGTACTTTACCGGGAGGAAGCGGGGTGAGGGGAAACCATTGCACTTCAGGACATCATTAAATTTATTGTAAAATCTTGAATTTCAATCTCCTTCGCTATTTGATGAGCAAGCACGCCGGCACGCTACCTAACTAGCTGACTAGCTAATGTTTGCACATGCGCATCTTGTCCACCCATCCATTCAACATTTGCCTTTCCACCCATCCACCAAAAAGCCACTGTGCTGACTGATATTCCTCAGAGTGTCTTTCTGCATACATACATGTATATCAACATTCTTTCCACACCATTCCGAAGTTTCCACACCGTGTTCCTACTCCACTCCCCTTACGAACGAGAAAAGACACCTTCATGTGGAAACCACAATGAATAAACACATGTGAAAGAAGCGAAGAAGGAGACAGAGAAAAGTAAGAAAAGCATGAACGCCTTGGTAAGAAATGGTTAAAGCAGAATCAGCAATATTGATTGATTGAAACACCCCTATGAGAGTGGGGTACCACTTTTATATAAAAGTAGAAACTCCACCCATGTGCCCTATCATAGCAAACCATCCCAAATAGCCTCCGTCTTTATCAACGCCTAAAAAGCAGAAGGAGAACAAGTTAGATCCTGTATGAGGTATTACATGGACATAGAAGTTGGTAGGCCGTCATTGGTTATTTGTCCTCCAGCAAGTTGTGAGCGTATGAGGTTCTCATCATTAGTGTCATCATCCTTGAATCGTTTGTTTTCTTGGTGAGGTGGGTATGCTTGTTGCGGTTGTTGCTGTTGCTGGTGACCTTGCTGCTCTTCACTAGGATGTTTGAGACTGGCTGCTGCTAAAGTTCTCGCGGCAGAAGGTTGAAGAGCACCCATAGGGGCCATTGGG